ACCCCTAAATGCATTGAAGCAACTGCCATGTGATTGGTTGATTAGATAATTGCATTAATGAGAAATTGAACAGGTGTTCCTAATAATGCTTTAGGTGAGTGTATATTAGACGTGTGAACAGTTCATTCTTGAAGTTGATGTGTTGGAAGCAGGAAAAATGGGCAAGTGTAACGATCTGAGCCACTTTGACAAGGCACAAATGACAATGGCTAGAAATCTGGGTGACAGCATCTCCAAAACAGCAGGTCTGGTGGGATGTTCCCGGTATGCAGTGGTCAGCACCTACCAAAAGTGGTCCAAGGATGTTGAACCAATGAACCGGCGACAGGGTCATGGGTACCTGAGAATCACTGATGCACAAGGGGAGCGAAGGCTATCATTTCTGGTCCGATCCAACAGGAGAGCTTCTGTAGCACAAATTGCTGACAAAGTTAAGGCTGGCTATGATAGAAAGGTGTCAGAACACACAGTGCATCACAGCTTGCTGTGTGGGACCACGCAGCCGCAGACCGGTCAGAGTGCCCATGCTGACCCCTGTCCACCGCCAAAAGTGACCAAAATGGGAACATCAGAACTGTACCACAGAGCCATGGAAGAAGGTCCCCTGGTCTGATGAGTCACATTTTCTGTTACATCACGTGGACGGTTGGGTGCATGTGCGTCGTTTAGCAGGAGAAGAGGTGGGACCAGGCTGCACTATGGGAAGAAGGCAAGCCGGCAGAGGCAGTGTTCAAGGTGTTAAGTTGGTCTCCAAATTCCCCGGATCACGATCCCATCAAGCATCTGTGGGATGTGCTGGACAAACAAGTCCGATCTGGAAAAGGCCCACCTGGTAACGTAGGGGACTTTAAAGGATCTGCTGCTAACATCTGGGGGCCACATACAACCGGACACCTTCACAGCTCATGTGGGGTTCATGCCTCAATGGGTCAGAGCTGTTTTGGCAGCATAAACTACATAATATTAGGCAAGTGGTTATGGCTTATCAGTGTATATTACTTTAATCCTGTAATACAAGAATTATGATTTCATCTTTTTTGTATGACATAACCTGCTTACAAAATAAGTTTTGTACATGGAAAATCTCAGGGATGATAAGTGATATAACCTTTTTCAAAAGTGGAGTTTAACAAAAGCAATAGTCCATTTACCCATAATCTCAAATGCTTATCCAAAGTAGGGCGTTATGGAAATTTAGTCATTTAAAGATTTTGTTAATAAGGCGCCATCTTCCTAGACAACTTAGATAATGAGCAATTTTATATGATATAATCATTTATACATGTCAGTACTTTTAATCTCAAGTGTATTGATCTATGTGTCCAGAATGATCTGCAGACTCCTTGCATTAGAATCTTTTGCCTCATTGATATTTCCTTTATTTTATTATTATTTGTCTGCTAGACAAACACATTAAGCATTAAAATCCTCATAAATGTCTTTTACTTTGGGCATTATACCTATGGTCAAAATAGAAGTCCGTGCAGTGAAACAAATACATTTCAGCCTTTTTATCAAGGACGAAGACATCAATACAAGCAAACGCATAAGCCAAAGATAAAGAGAGACAAAAGAAGGACAACGTCAACCACACGTATAGATATTTTTGGTACTGCCTCTGTGTATTTACTGTTGGTAAGCAACTGCACAAAAAATTAATGAGCCTGTTGTGCTGTTCCTCAGAGGATAGGTGGTGATTTCAGACAGAGGACTTCGTCAGACCTGCGTCAGTGCCGATGAACTCACCTCGCAGGGGAAGACGTGCAGCCATACAGTCACACCGCAGCAAGCATCCGCGTCCGACGTGCCGAAGGTCTGCCTTAAAATCAGTACATCGTTAATGAAGTCTGAGAAATATTCGAATAATTCAGATAATTAAAGCAGGGGATCCACGGCCATAAATAGCAGCAGCGTGTAATTTCCGTGAATTCGAGGAGCAGGGAAAGTTAAAAGCTGAACTAGCGGAGCATCGTTTCAGCACCTCGGACAGAGCGCGGCGGATCATGGCTCCTGCGTCGCCGGAGGAAGCGCACTTTGGTGAGCTGTCTTCAAAAATAAATATAATTAAAAGGCTCTTTATTTCAGAATCATTTCTAAGGCTGGGCTGTGTGTTGCTATCATGTGGATGTTTTTCTGATGCTTTGTAGCAGGATCAATTCCTGTTGTGACACTATTGCTACTCTTTTTTTTAACCAGGCACTGTGCGTTGCATTCAATGTAATGGTGTAGTTACATGTACAGGAATTATATTATCAGTAGTAATAAGCCAATGATCTCAATTACATAATTTATGATTTTCTGAGCGTAGTATTTGCTACATATGTGAACTCTCTACCCACTACGTACGTGCAGCGTCATCGATTATGAATATATAGCCAGATTTAAAGGCGTATATGCACCCTGGTCAGCTGTTTTGTGTTTTATCAGTCGATCACCGGCGTGATTAATATGGCAGGAGTCCATCCTGGCTCCCTCTTGGGTACAGCCCGTGCCGGCCCGCGGAGCAGCAATGCGAACGGCGTCGTTGGCAGCGATGGCGGGGCGCAGTTCTGACTCACCCCCGGCTCGGTCTCCGCCACATTGCTGTGTGCTCCGGGGGGGTGAGCTTGGGAGTAAGGCGGCGGACGCCCACTGGAAATTTCCAGGATTTTAAAACCGTGAATAAATCACCACAAATACCCGGCAATAAAGCGAAGGATGAGCAAACAGGCGAGGCTGTACAATAAGAACTAAAGCGATGTAAAATTGCCCTTTCTTTGATTTTTCGGATTATATGACGTAATTAGCGGGCCATTGCTCTGCAACCGATTGTGCATATAGTTGTAAATAAATATTTGATTTGCAATTTAAGCAATAATTCAAATATCGAATTGTGATCAAATTAATGAGCGTTGTCTTAAAATTAAAACCTCTTTTGTTAAATGGTTTTAAAACATAGCTCTGTTATTATAGTTATTAGGAATATATCTGTTTTATATTTGTAGCAAAATATTAGAGGCTGCCATGACTCTGCTCATGATGGAAGATAGATGGGTGGAAGATCATATGTTAATTATACACAATTAGCTTAAGAAGAAAGGACAGCAATAATTTTCCGGTCTACTAGAGAGCCTAAACGGTTTAACAGCTGAACGGCTTTTGAGAGAGCATGTGTAAAGTGGTTTTTAAATTCAAAGGAAGATTTTGCAAACACAATTAGGTTTTGAAAGGCCAGCAGAGCCTTTCAGAGTCATACATTATGCTTGACCTCTTAGGCATAGTTTAGACCAGGGGTGGCCAATCTTATCCGCAAAGGGCCGGTGTGTATGCAGGATTTTAGGATAACCTGTAGGTCAGCTGTTCAAACCCAGGTGTGAGAACTCTTCAGCCAATCAGTCCTCTAATTAGTAATCTAGTTAGGGAGTTGCACTGAAAAAAGATTGGCCACCCGGTTCAGATGAAAGCTATCTCCAGGACTCATGAGGTGCTACAGGGGGAAGCAAAGACTTTTATATAACCAAGATCATAGAAAGACTTAGACAATGAAATTAAGATCCCTTGAATCAGTTTGATATTCAAAGGTTTATGCACAGAAATGTGTATAATCTGTGAATAGAAACCTCTGCATTACCTAAACCCAACAAAAATTTTATCCATGTATATTCTGATAAAAGTAAAACAAAATGCTTATGTTTTTATGCTTATATTCTATGTAAATGCTTAGAAAAACATTTTATGGGTACATTTTACATTTTAAACGGCTTTGCATTTTTTGTGTAGTTGTGAAAATTCACAAAACAAAGTAGCAGATGAGGCAGTATATTGTGAATACTTGTGAACTGTGATTGATGTGTAATGTGCTTCATCCCACAGCTGAGGTACCAGTCACAGTTGGCGTTGTCAGCATCTTAGGCCTGGTCTTCAGTGTCTCCCTTTTTTCATGGATCTGCTGCCAGCGCAAGTCAACCAAGGCCAACAAAACACCCCCTTACAAATTTGTGCATATGCTTAAGGGTGTAGACATTTATCCAGAAAGCCTTAGCGGCAAAAAGAAGTTTGGGGCAACTGAGAAGACAGACACGAGCACTAAACAAGGATCTGGTCTTGCCACAGGCAGGGCCTCGCTCCACCTGGACCTGGAGAAGCGAGATCTCAATGGAAATTTCACTAAGTCTCCCAATACCAAGGTTCGGAGTTCTCCAGATCTGGACCTATCATCGCCCCACCCAGGTTTAAATCATGGAGGAAAGGACATGAGTTCCCCCAAAAGTGGTCTCTCTAGTCATGCCATGACTCCAGCTGACAAGGGCCAAGACAAGGAGGGCGGCCTTGGTACCCTTTTCTTCTCCCTTGAGTACAACTTTGAGAAGAAGGCCTTCATCGTGCACATCAAAGAGGCTCATGGGCTCTCTGCCATGGATGAGCAGTCCCTGACCTCAGACCCGTACATCAAGCTGACCCTCCTGCCAGAGAAGAAGCACAAAGTGAAGACCCGAGTCCTGAGGAAGACGCTGGACCCGGCCTTCGATGAGACTTTCAGCTTTTACGGCATCCCGTATGGCCACATCCCAGAACTCTCCCTTCATTTCATGGTGCTCAGCTTCGACCGCTTTTCTCGCGATGAGGTCATCGGTGAGACGCTGGTACCATTAGCTGGCATTGACCTTTCTGAGGGGCGCATCCTTATGAACCGGGAGATCATCAAGCGTAACACTAGGGTAAGCACTCCCGAGACGTTTTACCATCCAGTCCCTTTATAGATTGATAATGGAGCGATAACATCAGCATAAGTAACTATAGTCCTTGAAACCTGCAAGAACTACATTATAGCATGAAATTAAAGACAAGTAGTACATTTATAGCAGCAGTAACATGAGTAAAGTGCATTCGGAAGTGACAGTAGTAGCGCCAGAGGTGGACATTTCAGGTCCAAAAAGTAAAAATCCAAACCAGGATTTTGTTTCAACCAACCAGTTGAGTACTCTGTGACTGTGGCTCTTTATGCTCAACTGGTTGTTTGAAACAAAATCCTGGTTTGGATTTTTACTTTCTGGACCTGAAATGTCCGCCTCTGAGTAACGCTACACTTTGTAACCTCCTGAAACCCCACCCATTCATTTATGTCCATTGCAGTGGACATCTTGTTTTTGTAAATATCTTTTCACTGATGTGAGGAAACATATTTATTCCATTCCATATTTATACCATGACAAGAGGACATGCTGTGAAATTAAAAATAAAAATAAATTTGAAAAAAGATGTCTTATTTCCTCCAAAGACATAGAAAATCACAATAAACCTAAAACTGAAGGACACTTTTTTCCTTGGGTCTCAGGAGGATATCATTTTTGTTTTAGCATTTTTTATTAATTTTTCGCATTACTGTCCCTGCTTTGGCTGGCATCTGCATGACAGACATAGAGCTTAATAGTTTATTTACAGTGTGCTAGTGGGAGGGGAGTATGAGGGATTCGGCAATGTGATGGAATTTCAGTGCATGAAAAGGGTCACAATATTAATTTCTTACCCACCTGCAATTTTAGACAGGAGAAGTATTTCCTCTCCTCTCTGTAAAATGCGCTGGGGCCCTTGGTCTCATAGCATTGATTTTGAGACAGGCACCATGACATGCATTGATTTTTTTCTTTGATTTTTTTTTTTAATGGATACATTTCCTGTTAGAGTTGATATTATGTGGCCCACAGTAATTTGCAGTGTCATTGTATTACATGCGAGAGGAAATGGACAAGACTTAATTGTACTGTGAAGAGAATATGGTTTTTAATAGGAAGCCAGTACATGAAATCTATGAGCTTATTCTGATATGATCTTCCTACTTAATACTGGCATGCGTTATGGAGTTTGTCAACATACTGCTTAATCCAAGGTTCACCTGTATAGTGAAATGTGTAATACAACTGGTTACTTTATAACTGTTGAAGTAGTTTATGGCATTTTTATAGTGTCCTTTAAATTTTTATTGAAAAACGTTTGCATTGATTCTTCCCCTCTTCGTTCTTTTGTTACTCCACAATCTGTCATTGAAGAGGAACGCGGGAAGAGCGGAACTCTTGGTGTCTCTCTGCTATCAGTCCACCACCAGCACTCTCACGGTGGTGGTTCTGAAAGCCCGCCACTTGCCCAAAGCTGAGACCAACATGCCCTCAGGTGGGTCTCAGAGGTGATCATGCATATGCTTTGCAGAAACGCTTCATGTTTTATAATCCAACAGAATCCTGTATGTTAAAATGATTTCAGTATATTCTAGAAAAAATTGACAAAATATGCTAATAAGTTTTTGTTAATTCCTGCTGGAGAAAAGAAGATCTATATTCATTGTAATGTGGGCATATCAGAGGATGCTGACAGATCAAATTTTCCAAGGTACATTACAAAACTGATATCTCATAGAACTGCCCCAGTATGGATCTTTGCTCAGAATGGATCTTCATGAGCTCCAGCTGAAGTCCTGGTTTGCTTTGCCATTTCTAAAGGAGAAGTCATTAACCATCCCGTTTCTCTTTTCTCTGACTTAGACCCTTACGTGAAGGTCAACCTGTATCATGGCAAAAAGAGGGTGTGCAAGAAGAAGTCCCATGTAAAGAAGTCCTCCCCAAACCCTGTCTTCAATGAGCTGTTCGTCTTCGACGTTCCATCAGACAAGGGCCTGCAGGACACCAGCGTGGAACTCCTGCTGCAGGACTCGGAGAGGAATGGCCAGAACCCTGTCATTGGACGGCTCCTGCTGGGCACCGCCTCTCCGGGGACCCCAGGCGAACACTGGCGTGAGATCTGCGACCACCCCCGCAGACAGATCGCCAAGTGGCACGCGCTGGTCGAAGACTAGCTCCACCCCTGTCAACAGTCGCCAAAGGAACTGTCACTGCAAATGGGGGTGGGTGGGGAGTTAATGGGGAGGGATTCATTCCAAACGATGTCACCAGTCAGTAGTTGATCAAGTTAATGGGCTTGGCCTCCACAAAGGGGGAGAGAGGCCAAGAATCCCAACTATTAAAAATTCCAAAGAAAACCACTGAATTCCCAGTAATGCTACTTTCCATATTAAACAGTCTCAGTCTTGTTGAGTGCAACAGAGTATCATTACTGTCTCTATCACTGCTATTCTTCTATTCCTGTCTTATTACTGTTGTTACTATTATTCAATTGTGAAATGCTCTCTACAGTAAACAAAAAAGATCGAACACTGTTAATATGACATTGTAAAAAAAATGTGGATTCTTTTTATTTTTTAAAGACACAATGTTTTACTTAATGAATACTTGGTTTATTTTTTTCTTTTTGTACTTCTACAATTGTTCTTGTTTCTCTTGAGTATGTTTTGTAAGTAAAAGTGGTATTTCATATCTCATCGCATTAGATTGAGAGCAGCCTAAATTAGGCAAAACCTGTAACCAGGCGAGTTGTATTATAGTATGACAGGTGGCGGCAAAGTCACTGCAGGGTGGGAGGTGGGAGGTGTATGTGTATCCTGTCCAGAGGGGTGTGAGAGACAGACACAGTCTCTGTCCTCTACTGTGAGCACAAGGACAGTCTAGTTACATGTACCTTAATATAAACATGTCAAGGTCTGAGAAAAAAATGGAGTAGTATTGTGTGTATTTTATTTTTTTAGTTACTATGTTTGTAAGTGTGTGCATGTTTTCCCCACTGCTCTGGGTTCCTCCTGCAGTGGAAAGACATGAAGTTGGGTTAACTGGTGTCTCTGAATTGCCTGTAGTGTGTGATTGTCTATGTGAGAGTATGTGTGTATGTACTCAGAGATATGAACTAATACTCCATGTAGGGGTGCCCACCCCCCCCCGCCTTATGCGCCGTGCTGCCTGGGAGGGGCTCCAGGTCCCTCCATGACCTCTGAATAAGCAGCTAGAAAAAAGATGGAGGGATGAATGCTTGATTATATCTGAAAGTATTATTATTATTATTATTTTGTTGAGCCGGGAAATCAGTACGTCATATAAACAATACATGCCATTCTATTTTCCTGAAGTGACTGAGGGTAAAAAACATTCAGGTATAAACAGTGTTTATTTTTCTATTAGTAAGACAACTGAAAGAAAGACCTTTAATGATCAGACTCTTGGATTCCCTGCTGTCAGGGCATTTAATCTGCATACTGCTAACTCATCATACGTCGTTTCACATCACTGTGATCTTTTGGAGAAGTCTGTAAAACATCCGGACAGTTCCCCGAGTCTGAGTTCATTTTGAGGAGTTTGTCTTGCTCTACATAAGGTGCTTTCCCAATGATGATCAGGAACCTGGTTTGGAGTTCTCTCGACCAGGAACTTTTGTAGTTCCTGCCCATTTTGGTGTGTCATTTTTCACTGCGCAACAGTAACTGTGACCTTCATGCTAAATAAGCACAAAACCTCATATGTAACTTTATTCACAATGGGACTACATGGGCACCCCAAAACAATGGAGGATGAACAAGTCATTTTGTTAGTTATTGGGGGGGAGAGGGGGGGTGAGGAGGTACGGGACAAATCACATCCCATATTGGTCCAAAACAGGACACAGGATTTTATTTATATGGCCAGTGACATGTTTATAATTCATCATTAAATCTGGCTGGCAGGTCGATCTTTCATATTCCACAAATTGTAAATAAAGTGTAACTTTATCAGTGCCAGCAAGTTTCACGGCAAGAACTGGCGAGAGACAAAATATATAAAATATTTAAAAATGATAAAATATATAATAAACTAAATATATCGGTTATCAGTATTAGTCAAAATTTCTGTATAGGTGCATCACTATCAAAAACAAAAGGAAAGCCAGAGCACAAAAGAGAAGAAGACTTTTTATGGTGAATTGTGGAGATCAGACTTTCCAATGCAGAAATATGAAGACCCACACAAAACTAATTCATAAATATGCAGAAACGTATTTAATTGTAATTAAAATACACAAATAATTCCATCCACTACATTTTTCCTCCACTATGTTTTTCTCCTTTCCCTTCATTCCTGCGTATCTTCTAAGCTGGAGCTGGTATCTGTGATCAACCAGTCAGCATGTGTATTGCAATAAGCTCCGCCCCAGCAGTTCGAGGCCAAACGGAAAGTACCTACCCCAGAGTAGGAAGTTAAAAAAGGACCAAGAACCACCTCCTTGGAGCTACAATTAAGCTGAGTTTTTGTACTGGGAACCCCAGGAAAAAGTTCCCGCGGTGGGTGGGAAAGGGCCTTTAGATGGTTTTATCACCAGAGTGTGAAATATTAACCTACACCCCCACATTACTGGTAATACACAACGGTACATGTTAAAGCGTAGATATACTACAAGGGGAGTGCTGTGTATATCATATCCTTGTCAGGACTCATTTCTTCTCTGAGTGCACTGGCTGCCAAACCACACCTGGGGAATGCAAGTGCATTATTATTAAAAAGCTTGCAGCATAACTTAGTCCATTAGAGTATTTTGGGAGCCAGAGAACCATCTAAGCTGCAAAGTCACATATGAATGTAAGCATCATGGACAGACAAAGGGAGAGATGCTGCTTAGGTGCAGGGTGTTTGCTGAAGGCTTACGCTCTACCTCAAATGGCGAAAAATAATAGAGCAGAGTAGATCTAGGTATTCCATTTAATGTGGAGGCCCAGAATGAAGGATAGCATGTCATTGGGAGGACTGAAGCACAAATGAGGTGTTAATCCCCAGTCTTTTTGTCAAATTCCTTGCTGTTCGGTACAGTGTAGCCAGAAACCTCGCTTCTGCTGTGAGCTCCAGTTGTGTCTAAACCTACAAAAGCCGAAGTAATTTGCATGCAGCCAATCTGTGCCCAGCAGTAACGTCATACTCCTGCTCATTAGCAGTTTAGCAACAAGGACCCTTGTGACTTAAATACATTTTTTTGCTCCCTCCCAGCTCCTTACCAAACAGTTCACAGGGAGCAAAAATGTAGACTAGGTTTGAGAAACACTGCGCAAACGGGTCAAGTGAAACCAGGAGAGATAAGAAGGGGAGGAGTCAGGGGTAGCAGGTGTCAGGTGCCGGGTTCCAGAGGGAGACGCGTTTGAGAGGTCAGAGGTCATTCCAACTGTGCGTCACAAGGGCTTCGCTGAGGCTCTTCATGTCGGGTCGTTAGCTCACAGACGGCGGAGGTGGAAGACAGAGGCGCCGTGGCTCGCAATACTCAACACGCTTATCCATAGAATCCACCTTGGATCGTGTTCAGGCAGGGAGGCCCTCTAGGCCAGAGCGAGTATGCAATGTGCTGCAGTTGGCGATGCGTCTGTCTTCTCTAATGCTTGACGGTCGGGATGATTCACACCAAGGGTGGGACCAACTGCTATAATTTCTGCATAAGCAATCAGTTCAAGCCGCAAAGCACAATTAACAGCACCATCTAGAATGCATAAACAATGCAGGCAGGCTGCTGTAGTGAAGCCTGCACCACACTAATGAGCCACTTAGCTTTAGAGAGGCACCATGTACCATGCGGGGCTTTTGATTTGATTAATCAGCAGTCTCAGCCAGAGCAGCCCCCCCCACTCTAAACTCATCTTATAATTTGGCAACAGGACATAAAATGACGGAAATAAATGCACCACCAGTGACGCACTGAGGAGAGGGTCTGCTGACAGCTTTAGTGCATGGGCGCAGGAGGCAGACGCCAGAGCCACAACTAAATTTCCATTAGCCCTAAACAGAGCGGGGGGGCGGGAGGGGGGCATTAAGCGGCATGTATCTCCCAGATGCGCAGCTGTTTGTCTGTCTCCTTTTACTCAGAATGCGCCTCATCCTGCACAACATCTACGCTGGAAAAAGACAGGACTGTTTATTTCCCTGGGAGCTTTAAGTATATACTATAAGTATATACTATACTATAAGTAGAGAGCACGTTAAGTAATTGTAACACTGAGAGCACGTTAAGTAATTGTAAATAACTGTTTGGCTTTGCCCGCATGATCCATTTCACCTGGAGTTTTGTAAATATTTCAAATGATAAAATGCTATGTTAGTCAAATTTTTACCTGAAGTATTTTCATGATTGAGAACAACATTAATTTTTCACTCTATGCCTCATTTAAAAGATGCACAAAAGAACTTTAAATGTGTAAAAAAAGTGCCTTTTATCACTTCTTGCTGTTCTGTTGTGGCATGCCAAATAGCATTTCTATAATTTAAAACCTGACAATGTGTTACAAGGAGCTGAACACCTGACAATCCAATATGTTTTTTTAAATATCTGTACAAAACAGTGAATATAGGGGGCTGTGCAGTCTTCATACTATGCTTTGCTGCAGATTACACTATGAATTTTGTTATTATAGCGAAGAACAGCCAAAATTTTGTGGATACTATTGATATGTGGCCTTTTCTCTAAGATCTATGTCCTAATTACTAGAGCTGGTTGTGCAGCAAAAGTAATTTAAGCACAGCTGTATTTCATGTCCTAGTCGGCTGTGCCCTTCCAAGACCAATGACAGACTATAGAGGGACCAATAAACTGTAAAACTGCGGCATGATAGGCCACTCCTCCTATGATGTCACAGCAGAAACTCTGAGGAAGTCATATGGCAGAGGAAAGGGAGGGGGCTGCGGGAGGCGGAGACAAGAGAATGATGAAGCAGTCGTCATAAATGGAGAGAGAGAAATGAATCATTATTGAGAATAGGGTTTATTTGAATCAAAATGCTTGTTGTGGGATAAAAAAAGAGTGTCTGAGAAAAGAAGAGGTGGAGGACTGTACAGTAAGAGGTACACTGTGTAGGAGAGGGTGGAGATCAGATGGAGGCAGGAGACAGAATGGAGAGACAGGCAGAGAATGAGGAAAAGAATAAATGAAAAAGGGGAGAGAGGAGAAGGGAGACGTGGTGAGAGTGAGGGAGAGGCAGGCGGTTAGACCGACACTCTGTCCAGTGGGGGAAACTCTGTCAAGTGATGAATGCCGTGTCACTGGCGAGCTGTCAGAGCCCCAGCTGGGCGATGCTGAATGCAGATGCCGGAAATAACTCTCACAAAAAACACTGGCGAACTCTTGCTCTGTGAAGTTCACACGAAGTCTGCACAGATGAATACTACTTCCCAAGTCCTGCTTGGCATTTCGTAGATGAATCCAAGCCGCTATGCTAAATTTGAACTTTGCAATCAACCTACATCTGAGTTGCAGTGGGGTTTAAATACTTGCAAATATGTTGAGGCGTGTGACAGGACGCCCCTAATGAGCTATTTAATTTGGTTTTAGTCTGTGAAGGGAAGGACAGTTAATTGGCTGAAGGTGTCCTCAAGTTGTCCGTAGCTCACAGCTCCAGCAAACGCTGGCACCCGGGTGTCAATCATGATGGTCATGCCAACCTCCTGTTGGCCCTGGGAAGAAGAGAGGAGTGAGTGTGTCATGCATGACCTAGAATAAGCAATCAATAAGCAATACGTTTATGTTTGTTTCTAAACCTGTGGCGGCTTGCAGTTTGACTGGTGCATAACCTTAGCGCTGGGTACTAGCACACATGTGGGTCTTCGTATTTCAGTGTTCCTTTGCAGTGTGGGGTTTCCCAGCCTTGATCTGACCTTCACAGACTCTGTGGAATACATATTTACCTCACATCAAACTTGAATTGAAATCTTAGGCCAC